TTACTTTTCTGTTTGTTTCTCCTTCTCTCCTTCCACACTGCCTATGGAGGGAATGGTTTCAGCTCTGGGACTAATGACACTTCCCTTTTCTGACTGCTTCTTGAGGGAATTGCTATGGGAAACCTCAGGAATACAGGCTTTTTACAATAGACTCTTGGAATGGAGGGGTCGTGTGGTATCCTAGGAAAAAACTGAAGGATCTGAGTCTCATTCCCAGTTCTGCTGGTTAATAGCTATATGCTCTTGGCAAATCACTTAAGCTTTATGCATCTCTGGTTCTCCATTTGTAAAGTGGGGATACGAATAATTTTTACCAGCTGGACGTGGTGGCTCATGCCTGTAATCCCAGCACTTTGGGAGGCTGAGGCAGGAGGATCGCTTGAGGCCAGGAGTTTGAGACCAGCTTGGCCAACGTGGTGAATCCCCATGTCTACAAAAGAGTTAGCCAGGCACAGTGGCATGCACCTGCAGCCTGTAGTCCTAGCTACTCAGGAGGCTGAGACAGAAGGATAGATTGTGCCATGGAGTTTGAGGTTGCAGTGAGCTATGATTGTGCCATTGCACCCCAACCTGGGCAACAGAGCCAGAGAGGCCCTGTCTTAATAGTAGTAATAATAATAATAATAATAATAATAACTGTTTCACATAAGGTTACAGAGATGATTAAATCAGTTAATGCATATGAAGTGGTTAGTGCATGGCACATCTTAAGTGTTCAATAAACAGTTCTTGTTTTGTGTGTGTTTTTTTTTAAGTTTATAGAATATCTATGTCAGGTACTATGTTGATTGATTTCACGCATGGACTGCATTTAATCCAAATCATAACTTATGAAAAAGAGATGGTCATCTTCCCCATTTTGTGATAAAAAATCTGCAACTCGCAGAATTGACTTGCCCATGGCTGTCCAACTACAATTTGAATGCAAGTATGCACGGACTTCAAGTCTAGGGCTATTCAGGACTAATAATAGGCCACGTAGTAGACCCTACAGATAGTTTGTTCTCCTGTTCCAAACTAGGGTTAGAAGGCTCTAGCTCAGGCTCCAGCTACCTCTATTTTGATTTTTCTCCTTCTAGACTTTAGTTTTCTCTGTGTCCCAAAAGCCTCCACTTCCCCCTTCTGTCTCCTTTGGGATTGTTTCCTATTCCTGGGGAAACCTGAGAAAGAGTAAGGGGCCAGCCAGGTGCGGTGACCCAGGCCTGTAATCCCAGCACTTTGGGAGGCTGAGCCTGGCAGATCACCTTAGGTCAAGAGTTTGATACCAACCTAGCTTACCTGGTGAAACTCCGTCTCTACTAAAAATGCAAAATTTGCTGGGTGTGGTGGCGCATGCTTGTAAGCTACTTGGGAGGCTGCGGTAGGAGAATTGCTTGAACCCAGGAAGTGGAGGTTGCAGTGAGCTGAGAGCGTGCCATTGCACTCCAGCCTGGGTGACAAGAATGAGACTCTGTCTTTAAAAAAAAAAAAAAAAAGTAAGGGGCCTTTGTAAGCTATGTTTCACGGTGTGGCATGGTAGTGGTATAACAGAACCTTGACAGTGGATGGTCAAATCCGGGTACCCTAGGTGTAGGCACTCTTGAGCCATCAGAAAGTCTAAGTTTGAGCTAGTAACCATTATTGTAGTACCTGCTATTTACTGACGACTTGCAATGCATCAGGCTGTGTCCCAGATACTTTAAGAATACTATCTCTAGGGGAGTGGGGATGTGGGGAGAGATAGCATGGGGAGAAATGCCAAATATAGATGATGGGGAGGAAGGCAGCAAATCATGCTGCCATGTGTGTACCTATGCGACAATCTTGCATGTTCTTCACATGTACACCAAAACCTAAAATGCAATAAAAAAAGAAAGAATACTGTCTCTAATCCCCGCGGTCACCTAGCCTGATATGGATTATTGTTTCCTTTCTCAGGTAAGAAAACTAAAGCTCAGACGGGTTAAGCGACTTACACACATGTCTAAAGTGGCAGAGGGGAGTTGAACCTGTATCTGTCTCTGTCTTTTCGCCCATTGCCTACTGGCTTGGTATAGTTAGTGAGATGAGACTAACATACATGAAATGATGATGGGCAATATCACATTTCATATTATTATGGACCACATTGTGAGGACTAGATTACTCAGAACAAGCTTCCTGGAGGAAATGGTACTTGAGCAGTACCTTGAAGAACATGTAGGATTTAGGTTAACAAAAGGAGAGGGGGCATTCCAGGCAGAGGGAACAGTCATTCCAGGCAGAGGGAACTATGATTGATTGAGGCCTTGCCAGACCTGATTCAAAGCACTTGCATTGTCTCATTGGATCCTTCAACAACCCCATTTGGTACTATTATCCCCATTTTACTGCCATGAAAACTAGGGCTCTGAAAAGTGAAGTCACCTGTCTAAAGCAACAGAGCTAATGAGTGGTAGAGCTGGGATTCAAACCAAGGTAGTCTGACCCCAGAGCCTGTGTTAGATCTACTGGAATAGCAACAGCAAAGACACAGAATCAGAAAGGGACAGGGCTGATTACAGGGTGTGACTGGAGCAGAGACATGAGCGATTGAGCTGGTAGGTAAAGATAGCTTATTGAAGACTTTGAAACTCTGATATAGTTTACATTTGATGTGGGACAGGGTAGGAAATAGGGAGCCAGTGAAGATTCTTGAATAGGAGAGTATCCCAGTTCAGTTGGCACCTAACATGATATGATCTAAAAGCAGTGACTGAAGGCAGAACAAGGGAGACAGGCTGACAGACTGCTGTAGTATTTTGGGCATAAAGTTTCAAGGGCCTGGACTAGAACAGGAGTTGGTGGTGGTGGTGGGTTCTGGGAGAAGAACTCTAGTTCTGTCTAATGGCCACAGTGAAAATGGAGGGGGTGTAGGGAGAGAGAGAGAGAGAGAGAGAGAGCGCAGGAGAGAGCAGGCGACAGCGAGCACGAGCGCAAACCAGGGCTGGAGAAACATCATAAAAGAAGACCCAGTAGAAATCAGTATGGGATTGTATGGTTAGGGAGAAGGTGGCATCAAGGCTGTCTGCACTTTAAACCCATAACTCAAGAATCCTAAATGTGGAAAAAGGCTTGAAATAGGAAAGGTACTCTGTTCTCCACTATATCCTCAGTGCCTAGAAGCGTAGGACATAGTAGATACACATGGTACATAGTACTACTATTGGTAGATGCTTGACAAATAGTTGTTGACCAGATAACTACCTGGTAGCAGCAGGTGGAAAGATTTCCCAGCAGTGTGGCTTTGTGTATAGGACTCCAGAGCAAGCATAGCCCCCAAGGTCTCCTTGTGTCTTCAGCCTCCCCTCTGGGCACTCTGAAATCAATAATAGAACAATGTGATTACAAAGCTGGGGGTTTCACCCGGTTCCTCCATTTACATCTTAGCCACTGTCGCTGACCTGTGGCTCTGCTTCCTGGCCTTTGACAAACAGCTTCCCTTGCCCTTCCTCCTATGTCTCCTGGTCTGTGTCTGGCCTGTTACCACTCAACCCGCGTTTTCCCCAGCAAGGCCATTCTCCTGAGGACTATCTTTGCAGGCCTTAGCCCTCTAGAGCCTTGTACTACAGAGATCTTTTGTGCTTCTGCCGGGGTGAGGGGCATTTGCAGCTGGGATGGAATCCTCCAGCTTGAGTGTGACTATGAATGCTCCTGGGAGGTAGGGAGCTGCTTTATCTCACAATATAGCAAGCTTGTTGAAGGCAGGGGCCCTTGTTCTATTTCATCCTGTACTACCAGTGCCTATTGTAGACCTTGGCACAGTAACCATGAATAAATTGATGAAAATAATTTATCATATATTTATTTCTCTATCTACTTATCATGTTTCTTTTACCCTACCGTTTATCTCTTTCTCTGTCATCCATTTCTCTCTACTGTATATTTCTCTACAGTCTTTCTCAGCATTTTCTCTCCTTTCTGTCATTTGTTTTCCCCTCCATCATCTCTCCCTCTTATTTGTATAATTTGCCTGGTCCTTCCACCATCTCTCTCTCTCCATTCTCTCTCTACTCTCCCTCCTTCTCTCATTCTCCCTCCTATCAATCATCTTTTTACCTCCCGGCATTATCCATATCCCACATGTGCTGTTTCGCATACCACTCTTCCCCACTTGCAAGGGTGGCATCTGCTCATGCAAAGTATTCCAGGTGACAGAGATGGGTCCTGTATACAGCAGTCAGTACAAAAGTTGTGCCTGCATTCAGGGCCGTGGCCTCAGACTGATTTCCCTCTATGTACCCCTGACCTCCTAAGCAGCCAGTGTCCTCTGTCGGCCTAACATGGTACCATTCACCACTTTGTTCTATCTTCCCTCACAGGAGTTGGGGCTTCCTGACACCACGTTGCCTACCAACTCAGCTGTCTTGCCTCTGTACCCATCTTACCTTTCACTCCATTGATGCCTTTCCCATGCTTTGTTTGAATCAGCTCTATCTCTCCCATTAATGTGTAAGCTCTCAAGGGCAAATACTATATTGGATTCATCTCTGTATTCCCAGAGTTACACGTAGAGGACACACAGTAAACATACAGCAAATGCTTATTCAATGAATGACTAAAAATTGGAGAATTGACAGCCCAGTGTTGACCTGTTCAAACTTTTCAATCACTTGCCTATTCCTTTCTCAGAGAAAAGTGAGAAGATTGACCAGATTGATTTTCTTTCTCAAAGAGAAGTGAGGACGTGCTCACTGTTCATTGGGCAGCAGCACTCATTTATTCCACAAGTATTTATTGACCATCTGCTCTGTGTCCAGCATTGTGATACATGCTCAGGATACTCTTGTGAACAAAGCAGCCCTATGAAGCTGACATTCCATATCTCTAGAATGAAGGCAACTTGAGAACTAGGAGATCAGGAGGGCCACTAAGATTCCCACACCAGTTTCTTGTACGATGTTCTACTTTATTGAAGGAAAAGAGGGGGGTGGGGCGGAAGCTGCCTGGGAAGTGATTTCAGCTCTGGTTCCTTAAGCCTATTTCCTGTCCCTTTCTTGTAGGAGGAACGCCCCTGTCAATAGGCCGCACTCATGGCATGTGGCCAAGCTGCTGGAGAGATGCCCTGAAGCAGCCACCACCATGCATTTCCCTTCTGAAGCCTTCAGCTTGTCCTGGCATTCCGGCTGCAACACAAGGTGAGTCTAGAGCCCTTCCCTCAAGATGGGCTGGAGGGACAACTTGGACACTCCTCTTCCTCTGCTCTAATCCCTAGTGGATGTTAGAGCCTCAAGTGCTATAACAGAAAAGCAAGTGGGAGCCCAGAGTACCTGAGTTCAAGTCCTAGTCTCTTGCTAACTCTGTGATTTGGGGCTAGTCCCTTTCCTTCTGGACCATGTTTCCTTGAAATACCTCTTTGGGCTTACAAGACACCATACTGCCCTGCTTTTCATCCTATTTCACTAGCTGTTCTTTCTCCTTCTCTCTTTTCCTAATTCCTTTCATTCTCCTGTCTCTTAAAGTAGGAAGACCCCAGGGCTCAGTTCTAGCCTGCTTCTCTATCAATGGCGACTCACTGGTGACCTTATGTGGTCTTTATTACCTCTGTCACATAGCCAAAGCCTTCAAAATAGGGACCTCCCTGAATAACTGTTATTGAAACAGTTGCCCAAGAGACAGACAGCGTTTTCTGCAGGCTGAGAACCAGCAAAGGTGCTGCCCTTCACTGCCTTTTCCCTTCCACGAGAGCTTCCCTCCAAGAAGGGATTTCTATTGGGGGTTCAGAGAAGCTAAGGGTTCAGTTTACCCCAACTCGGTGACTTTTTGGAAGCCAGGGTCTCAGGGCAGAGGCAGTTTTGTTCTGGAAGAATATGCAGAAACACACTTTGGCATTCTTAAGCATGGCTCCTGTTTGAGTGAAAATGTGTTTTTGTTTTTGTTTTTTTCAGCAGGAATAGTGGTGGGGTGGGTAGCAGGTTCCCTTGCCAACAAGAAATTGCTTGATTCCTTGACCAGAGAACAGGTGAGCTGACTGGCTAACAGGCAAGGCAGGGAGCAAGAATGAGGGGAAGCTGACCTGAGGGTCTCATGGGCTGCTGCCACAGTTCAACTGTGGCTTTCTGGACTATGGCCTTTCTGAGAGCAGCCTGTAACCTCTGGGGTGCTCAGTTTGGCTTTGTGTGTGGGAAGTGGTACTTAAAATTGAAGATTGCATCTGATCCTGGCCCTTCCCTTGGTCTTCCTGTGGGAGGTGGGGGAGGCTTGGGTGGGCAGAGGCCCCTGTACTATCAATACTAGTCATAGAGAGGATGCTGATGACAAAAACTAATAATCAAGAGACGAGCAGCTGCCATGTATTGAACCCTTGAGAGGTACCTGGGCTGTGGTCAGGGCTTTACATTTATCATCTGCTTTCATCTACACATCAACCCTATGATATAGATATTACTATTTTCATATTTAAAAGACCATATGGCAATAGAGCTAAGATGCTGGACTCAGGACTGGATTCAGATTCCAGCTGTGCTGCTTTAACAGCTTAGTGAGTTTGTCGGTTTACGTTCTCTCTCTAAGCTTAAGTTTCTTCCATTGTAAAGTGTAGATAGTAATCTGTCCCATAAAGATGGGAACAATAGACACTGGGAAATATAAAAGCAGGGAGAAAGGAAGGGGGACAAGGGTCAAAAAGCTACCTATTGGACACTCTGCTCACTTCCCAGGTGATGAGTTCAATTGTACTCCACACCTCAGCATCACGTGATACACCTTTGTAACAAACCTGTACGTATACTCCTGAAATCTAAAATAAAATTGGAAAAGAAAAAAAAAAGATCTATCCTTTTCAGCTTGAATGATAAAAGCATGATGCTCAGAGCTAGGTCTTCAGAGTGCCTCAGCCAAGCCCCTGAGAGGTTTGCTATTATCAAGAAAAGAATAGAAGAACACCTGAATGACAGTCCAGTCTGTGCCAGTGGTTAGAGCTGGGTGTTCTTGAGTAAATCACCACCTCAAAATCACTTCCCTTTGCTGGGCTTGCTTTACACCAGTGGTTCTCAAAAGTGTGATCGCTGGATGAATAGACAGCACCAGCAGCACCTGGGAAGTTGGAAGTTCAAATTCTCAGGATTCACCCAGACTTAAAGCTCTAGGATGAGGACCAGTGACCTGTGTTTTAATAAGCCCTCCGTGTGATTCTGATGCACATCCTCATTTGAAAATCATGGATTTATTTACAAAACGGTGTGGCTCTCTCTAATGCTGATATTCTGTGATTGTCTCTTTTGGCAGGAAGCCACATGCTGACTCCCTAGGGACAGGGACAGCCCAGAGGCAAATTCAGACTTGCTAATGTCAGGGAAATAGAGGATAACTCCCATAGAGTTCTCCCACTTTTAGTCCTTAGGGTATTTCCCCATCTTTCTTCCATATATCATCTTGTGTCTCATTTTACTAAGCCCCTGAGGTGCCCCACTGTCCATCATCTTCCCTGTTTCCTCTTCTTCCATTTTTCTGCCTACCCTCCTCTCATTGGTGGCATGGGTACCTCTGGGCTGGCCAGCCCTTTCCTATGACAGGGCTGGCCATGAAGGGAAAGTGATCTGGTGATTTGGCTAACCAGTATGCCCTGTGTCTTACAGTGACGTGTGTGTGCAGTGGTGTCCACTCTCCCGGCACTGCAGCACCGAGAAAAGCAGCTCCATTGGCAGCATGGAGAGCCTGGAGCAACAAGGCCAAGCCACCTATGAGAGCCATCTGTTGCCTATTGATCAGAACATGTACCCTAACCAGCGTGACTCAGCATACAGCTCCTTCTCAGCCAGCTCAAATGCTTCTGACTGTGCCCTTTCCCTCAGGCCAGAGGAGCCCGCCTCTGCAGACTGCATCATGCAAGGCCCAGGGTCATCTAAGGCTCCCAATAGCCGGCCTAATGTAGCTGAGACCTCAGGAGGTAGTCGGCGTGCCAGTGGGGGCCACCTGACCCCCAACTCCCAGATGTCAACTCGTCCACAGGAGGGACACCAGTCAGGGTCTGCCAAGGCAGTCAGGGGCCCACCACAACCTCCAGTGAGGCGGGACAGCCTTCAGGCCTCCAGAGCCCAACTTCTCAATGGAGAGCAGCGCAGGGCATCTGAGCCTATGGGCCCCTTGCCACAGAAAGAGAAACTGAGCTTGGAGACAGTACTACCCGCAAGGAACCCTAATAGATTCTGTTGCCTCAGTGGGCATGACCCAGTAACAACTGAGGGCCATCAGAACTGTGAGTTCAGTCAGCCTCCTGAATCCAGCCAACAAGGCTCTGAGCATCTACTGATGCAGGCCTCAACCAAAGCTGTTGGATCCCCAAAAGCCTGTGACAAAGCTTCCAGCATGGATTCCCACTCACTCAGTGAGGCTTCAGCAGAGCTAGCTAAGGCTTCTTTTGGCAGACCTCCACATCTCATAGGACCCACAGGGCATCGCCATAGTGCCCCTGAACAGCTGTTGGCATCCCACCTGCAGCATGTGCACCTTGATACCAGGGGCAGCAAAGGGATGGAGCTCCCACCCGGACAGGATGGGCACCAGTGGACTCTGTCTCCTTTGCACAGCAGCCACAAAGGGAAGAAAAGTCCATGTCCCCCTACAGGAGGAACCCAGGACCAGTCCAGCAAAGAAAGAAAGATCAGACAAGTGGATGACAGGCCTTTGGTTTTGAGATACCAGAGCCAAAGCAGTCCTCCCCATGGAGAGGTTGATGGACACCCCTCAGAAAGAGGTTTCCTGGACCTAAACAGAACAAGCAGAGCAGGCAGTGAATTGGCCAACCAGCAATCCTCTGCCTCTGGCTCTCTTGTTCAACAATCCAGGGACTGTTCTTCAACCACTAAAGTAGCTGGTGGCACAGAGGCAACCGAAGAAGGAGACAGTGAGCCCAGGGAGTGTAGCCGGATGGGTGGCAGGCGAAGCGGAGGGACCCGGGGCCGCTCAATCCAAAACCGGCGGAAGAGTGAACGTTTTGCTACCAATCTGCGTAATGAAATTCAGAGGAGAAAGGCCCAGCTCCAGAAAAGCAAGGGTCCCTTGTCACAGCTGTGTGACACTAAGGAGCCAGTGGAAGAGACCCAGGAGCCCCTAGAAAGTCCTCCACTCCCTGCCTCTAACTCATCGCTTCTATCTTCATGCAAAAAAACCCCCAGCCCCAGAGACAAGCTCTTCAACAAAAGCATGATGCTCAGAGCCAGGTCTTCAGAGTGCCTCAGCCAAGCCCCTGAGAGCCATGAATCTAGGACAGGCTTAGAGGGACGAATAAGCCCTGGCCAGAGGCCTGGCCAGTCCTCTTTGGGCCTGAACACCTGGTGGAAAGCATCTGACCCATCCTCCTCAGACCCTGAGAAAGCACATGCTCACTGTGGAGTTCGTGGAGGTCATTGGAGATGGTCTCCAGAGCTTAATTCACATCCACATGTGGCAGTAGCCATGGAAGGCCCTTCCAACCCAGGTGACAACAAGGAATTGAAGGCTTCTACTGCTCAAGCTGGGACAGAAGCCATCCTCTTGCCTTTTGCAGACAGAAGAAAGTTCTTTGAAGAGAGTAGCAAATCCTTATCTACATCTCATTTGCCAGGTTTAACCACTCATAGCAACAAGACTTTTACCCAGAGACCAAAACCAATAGACCAAAACTTCCAGCCAATGAGCTCCAGCTATAGGGAATTGAGGCACCATCCCATGGACCAATCATATCATTCCACAGACCAAGCATATCATGCCACAGACCAATCATATCATTCCATGTCACCCCTTCAGTCAGAAACTCCTTCTTACTCAGAATGTTTTGCAAGCAAAGGTCTAGAAAATTCCATGTGTTGTAAGCCACTACACTGTGGTGATTTTGACTACCACAGGACCTGCTCTTACCCCTGCAGTGTTCAGGGAGCTGTAGTCCGTGATCCTTGCATTTATTGTTCTGGGGAAATCTGCCCTGCCTTGCTAAAGAGAAATATGATGCCAAATTGCTACAACTGCCGGTGCCACCACCACCAATGCTTTCGGTGTCCAGTTTGCTACCATAATCCTCAGCACAGTACCCTCGAGGACAGCAGCTTGGCACCTGGCAACACTTGGAAACCCAGGAAGCCGACAGTGCAGGTGAGGACTTGGTTCTTGGGTGGGTAACCTTCATTATTCTCTTAGTGAGGAGAAAGCTAGGTAAGTTATTTTAAAATAGAACAATCATAATTCCTTGAAACTGTACACCACTGGCTCCAGGAGCTGTTAGCTTAGTAACCTTGAACAAGATACACAACCAGAAAAATTGCAGTTGCCTCATCTTTAGAGTTAGAGCTTCATAAAATCGACACAACTGAGATTTACATCCTGACTATAATATTGATATCCGAGTGACCCAAAGCAAGTCATTCAACTACATGCATTTGAAGTATGTGATCTAAAGGGAAAAGATAATTTTTCCCTTATAAAACAGCCAGTATTAAGAAGAGTCTCACTACCTCATCTCTAAAATGAAGGAATATTATGGCTGCCTCATGGATCAGTTGTGAGAATCAAATGAGATTGTGTTTATCAAGTGCTAAGCCCAGTGCATGATGCAAAATTTCACTTGTTGCCTCCCTTTTTCTGCTTCAGAAATATTTAAAGATGAAAAATTTGCAAATATCCCCAGGGTTTGTTTTCAGAGATCTGGCTTGTCTGTTTTCTAAAAAGACAAATCCTTTCCCCTTTCTCCATCCTGTCTCTGTTGGAGATCCAGGTCTAAGCTGGCTGTTCTTATTATATCCTGGTTATGACATACCACCCTAACACAAACCACCACCATTCCCCAGGTTACTTCTGGGAGAACTCCCTAGGTCCTTGCGTACTCACTGCCAAATTCCTTCCCCATGACATCCTTAATGCCATCTTTTGGCCCATGCATTCAAGCCAGAAGTTAATTCCTGTGTTCAGCTGTTGCATACACAGACACTTTTGAAATGACTGAGTATATGAATCTGCTCAATATATATTCTTGGGAAAAAAAGAAACTTTAAGAGTGAAAGAAGCCTTACACAAAAGACTGTGAACTCTGCTATTCCTTTTATATGAAATTCAAAAACAGCTATTCTATGGGGAAAGAAATTCAGAACACTGTTTGCTAATGGGAGGTGACATAGAGATTGACTGGAAAAGGGCATGAGGGAACTTGTGGGGTGGTGACAATATTCTATATCTTGTAAAAGTTTGAATTAAACATATGTAACTGTCAGAACTCAACAAATGTACAGCAAGGCTGCTAGACAGCCAATGCACTTAATATTTGTACAATTCACTGGAAGTAAATTTTGCCTAAAAATGTTGTAAACAAATATCAAACTTTATTCAATATGTATGCTGAAGTGTTTTTGAAGTTGACTGCTGTATTCAACTTAGGTTTTCAGCATACAAGTCTTGTACATATTTTGTTATATTTGTCCCTGAGATTTTATGAAAGCGCCGAATCCTAGCCGCTCAACTACCAGGGGTATTTGCCCCAAATATTTTATGTTTATAGATGCTATTATAAAGAGTATTATTTTCTTAATGTCAAGTTGAAATTCTTGATTACTAGTATCTAGAAATATAATTGAGTTTTGTGTATTGACCTTGTATCCTTCAATCTTGCCAAACTCACTTATTACTTCTAATAGCTTTTTGGTTGATTATAAAATATTTTCTACATACACAATCATGTCCCAGCAAATAGAATTTTGTATCTTTCTTTTTCCTATACATGTCCTTTTCTGGGAGAGAGAAGAGCCTTGTCACACTGTCTCACCTTCAATGCAATGTTTGGAGGAGATGGTGAGAGTGGACATTGCTGCTTTTTTTCTTAATCTTTCACTATTAAGTTTGATGTTAGCTGTAGGATTTTTTTGTAGATACCCTTTAATTGAGGAATATCTCTTTTATTCTTAGTTTGCTGAGAGTTTTCATCAGAAGTGGATGTTGTATTTTTTTCAAATGCTTTTTCTGTATCTGTTGAGATGATCATATAATTTTTTTCTTTAGTCTACTGATACGGTGAATGGCATTGATTGATTTTTTAAATAAGTACAAGCACAGCATTGCCAGGATAAATCCCACTTGGTCATGATTGATTATCCTTTTATATGTTACTAGATTTGCTAATATTTTGTTAAGGATTTTGCATTTATGTTTATCAGGGATTTTAGTCTATAATTTTATTATAACATCTTTTCTGTGTTTGTTTGTTTGTTTGTTTGTATCAAGGTAATGCTAGCCTTAAAGAATGAGTTGGGACATATTCCTTCTCTTTTATTTTCAGGAAGAGTTTGTATAAAAATGTCTTCCTTAAATGTTTGGTTGAATTCATCATTGAAGCCATCTGGGCCTGGAGGTTTTTTAGTAGAAAACTATTTAACTACAAATTCAATTTCTTTAATAGATATGGGGACATTTAGGTCATGTATTTCTTCTTGAGTAAGCTTTGATAGTTTGTGTCTTTGAAGAAACTTGTCCATTTCATTTACATTTCAAATTTATGGGGATATAGTTGTTTTCAACTTACTTTAAAATGCATCAAGAATTTAAGATGGATTGGTAGATGGCTAGAAGGGTAAATAGATATACGATAAGGTAAATATATCAAAATGTTAATTGTAGAATCTAAGGTGCTGGGTATATGGGTGATCACTGTGAACTTCTTTCAACTTTTTTGTAAGTTTGAATATATTCATAATGTTGAAAAAAGAGGAGAGGAAATATAAAATAATTTTTTTAAGGACACCGAAGCTGAAACCAGACTGCCTGGTTTTGAATTTCTTCCCCTGAACTTACAATGTCTAAGCTTTCCCATCTAAAAACACGGGGGTAGTAACAACACTTATACCATAAGTTGGTTGTGGGGAGTAAGTGATGTAACACATGTAAGACTTGGAGCAGTGACTGCCAGATTGTAATCATAAGTGAGTTATCTCTTAAAGGGACATTTTGGCTTAGCTTGAGAGACTTTCTCTGAAAGAAGGACCCCACAGATAGACAGTAGACAAAGGGGGCTGAGACTTGGTGGCAGGGGGAAGTGAGGGGATGACGGTTGCAGTGTTGTCAGCCCAGGACCAGCAACCCTGTAAGAGAAGGGGCTACGATTTGCAGGTTGCAGCAATTGGCAGCAGTAAATCATGTGGGTAAGGCTGTGCCTAAACCATCTCTCTTTTTTTTTGTACTCTGAGGGAGGGATACCTTGGGTTCCTAATGCTTGTTAGACCAGCTAAGCAGGTCTGCTTAGATACTAGGCATTCAGACACGTGGATGGCTGCCTAGGAACGACCACATGCCCATTTCTAATCCTGCCATCTGAACTTTCCACTCCCACCCCACCCCCCTCAAGAAATGAGAAGAACTTGCAGCATGGGTTAAGATGGTCTAGCTCTGATGACTAAGGTAGTTGTGGTGGTAGCTCTCTGAAGTAGGGCTGAGATCCTGCTACTAATGCCCTTGCATAAGGTTGGTGAGGTAATTGGCTCCTGTCCAGTACTACGAAGACTGAAGTCAGCATGCACTCACATCCTTCATGCTTCATGCCAGCTTGTTTTGCATACATTGTCAAATTATTTCACTTATCAGTTGTATGAGATACGTTATAATAGGATCTCCCATTTTACAGCTGAGGAAGCTGAGAAAGCCAAGGCTCAGAGAGGTCACACATCTAGAAAGTGGCAGAGCCAGAGTTTGAATAATAAGACAGCAACTGGCATCTGAATGTCTACTGGGCACCAGGTACTATTCTAGGTGCTTTACAGGTATCAAGTCATTGAGTCCTCAATATTATTATCATGATTATACTATTATATAGTTGGGGAAACTGAGATAAAAAGAAGTTGAGTGCCTTGCCTGAGGCCACAAGTGAAAGGCAGGCATGTGATTTGAATCCATGCTATCAAGCTCTGGAAGCCAAGCTCCTGATTGTGCTACACTGCCTCTCCATAAGCTGATTGCAAAGCCCAGGCCCTCTCTAGCGTGGCAGGATGCCCTCTAGCAGTATTACTCCCACTGGGGCAGCAAGTTCCCATCACAGTCTCCATTTGCAGCAAGCCATGGGGATATGGGGATAAATGCTTTGGTTCAAAGGGTGCAAGCAGTGTACCAGGATCTTATGTGGCTTAGGAAAAAAGGAAAGTGATACTGTGGACCTGGGAAGGTAGCTGGAAGTTGATATGGGACTTTGTTTGGTTGAGCACTGCTATTTACTGAGCATGTCCACAGGGCTAAACAGGGCATGGACAGAAAATCCTGGCCCCCACTATGGTTGAACAAGTAATGGTGTCTTTGCAGGCAGGAACATCTCACAAGGGCATTGAGGCAGAGTCTGAAGTAAAGGTGGTTAGAGCTGTTCTGAGATGCCAGATATAGGCAGGAACTGCTCTGGTCCTTTAAAAGATGAAGCCAAAAAATAAACCTCAACTTTTCCATTGCTGCTAACATCCAGAGCCTCTTATGTGCCAAGCATTGTGTTAAGAGTTTTCTCTGCACATCTTATTTATCATCACTACTGGTCACCCAGGAGTGATGACCCTTATTTGTCAGATAGGAAACTGAGGTGAGGTTCAGGGAGGTAATATGAGTTCCCTCAAATAACAGCACTGTTAAGTGTCTTAGCCAGTATGACTGCACCAAGGACTATGTTTATTCTGCTTCACCAGGCATCTTACCTCCAATAGTGAGACCTACTGGGGCAAAGGCAATAAAACTTTGAATGGGACTAATAATAATCACATTGAAGAAAGAGGAAATTTGGAAGATCAGTGAAATTTAGGAAAAACTACACCCCATTGAGCTAAACTCTGAGTCTCTAGGTACAGAGTGTTGGATACAAAATGAGGGAGAATCTGAAAGGCTATTTTGCATTCAGTTTGGAGCTAAAATAGGAAGGTAGGGACAGTTTTACAAAGGGCACATATGGCTTGGCCTAGAAGAAAAGGAGTTGCTGGGCCATGGCCCTTAAGGAAAAAATGCCCAGCGTAGAAAGTCTACTCCTGTAATGTAGGGACCATGGCACCCTGCACTTACATTCCCCAGAGATGGGCCCACCTCAGCCCCTGCCAGCAGATATGGGCAGAGAAGGAGGAACCACTGCAGTCAGAGGCATGCCAGCTTACCTGCTCACCCTCTGCCTCACCTGCAAGCAGGAGCTTCTGCCCTCACAGCTTCCTCAGCGGCCAGGGCTTCCAAGAAGATGCTTTCTCTGTTTGAAGAGGCAGGAGGAATGAGCAGGTTCACACAGCAGAACAAACAAAAGGAGCTCCATCCCTCCATGCAGGCAAGAGCCAGGGCACACAGCAAACATACTAAACTGGTTTTCAATGTGGTTTGGGAGGGGAGTGGAAAAAGAGGGAAACAGCATTTCTAGACCACGGTGTCCAGGTCCCCAAGTGCTCTCTTAGTCTCTGCATGCCTGCAGCAGTGTAGCAAGCCTCCTGACAGAAAGGCAGCCCTCCAGGTACACATTTCTCAGCCTGCATTGCAGAGTAAATGGAACAAGCTGGGGGGCTAGGCCAGACACTGGCTTCTCACCTCTTCCCATTTTTGAGGCCATCTAGATAGCTGGCTGCCCAAAGCTTTCTAACTTACCAGGATTTTGCTTTACAGGAATTTCCTGGGGACAAATGGAAACCAATAACAGGAAACAGGAAGACCAGCCAGTCAGGGAGGTAAGTGAGCGCTCAGGGAATTGGGGTGACTTGGTGCCTCTGAAGCTTCTATAGAAATTGCTAAGGTCTTTGCTTTGCTTAGTTTCCTTTGAGGAAACTGGCCTGGTATCTAGACTAAAGGGCTTGATGCCATAGATATAATACAGCTCACACCCCACCCCCCCAGATTGCTGGGTACAGACCAAACTGATTGCTGGGGCATTTTGGAATATGCAAGTTTCCTCTATTAGACTGAGACCCTTGAGAGAGGACACCATACCTTGGTAATAGCCTTATTCTCTGTACTTAGCACAGTGCCTGATACAGAGAAGTTGCTCAAGAGATATTTGTCATTTGCTTGCCAAATGAAGTGGAGCCTCCTCCACCATTAAATGGGTGAAATGACATAAAAGTCATAATGCTAGCTAACATTTCTTGAACACAGTGCTCTATTCTAGACCCCATTCAAATCACTTTACAGGTATTTATTTATCACTATGACCTTATGGAGCTGGGAATATCAGTCTTTGCGTTTGACAGAGAGAAGAAACTGAGACACACAGAGGTACATTCATTTGCCTAAAGTCCCACAGCTAATCAGTTGTCTAGACCCAGGCGGTCTAGCTTCAGGGACACAATACTGCACTACAATGTTTCTCTGAAATAGTTATTTTACCGATGAGTCAGTGAAATAAAAGGACTTTATTGAAAACCTGGTATAGGTCTTAACTTTTCCTGGGAAAGGTAAATACTAGCATAAGAGCAGTGGGAAGCATGATGCCTGCCCACAGCCTGAGCAGGGAAGACTAACCCACACAAAGCTAAATGGCAGTAATAATAAATTACCACTTGCCAAACAACCTACGTGCTGCAAGCTGAGTTACACATACTCTATTATGCTTTATGTTCACAACAACTCTGTCAGGTAGGTGTGATTGTAACTGGGCAGTGCTTCTCAAACTTGAGTGGGCAATTGAAACACAGGTCAATAGTTAGACCCGACCCTGCGCCCCTAGAGTGATTTAGTAGGGGAGAAGTGGAGCTCAAAATCTGTAATTCTAACAGGCTCTAACAGCTAACAGCATCTGGGTGATGCTGAGGCAGCTGGTCCTAGGATCACACTTTGAGAACTGCTAACTCAGATAAAGGATCGCTGTCAGAGAGGCTAAGGAATCTACTCAAGGTCTCACAGCTAGTAAAGGGATAAGCCAGGATTTAAAGCTAGCTTTTATTTTCTCTCACAAGTTGACAGAAGATGAAACACTGTCAAATACAGGGCTTAAGAAGTGCCTGGAACCTGGTAAGGGGGCAGTATATGGTAACTATTATTGTACACTATTTAAGTTCATTGGAGGGTAAAAACGACTAAAGGTGGGGAGCTACAAGAGGAAAGACTCACAGAGGAGACTAAGCAGGGTGCGTTGGAGGAATAATCCCCACTGGTTAAGTTCTGACCTTGCAGTCAGTTCTGCCTGAGTTCAAAGCCAGGTTCTTCTATTCACTAGCTATGTGGCCTTGGCCAGTGCCTCCTGCCTGCCTCGCTCCCACTCTCTCTTTCCCTTCCCTCCTTATTTATAAAATGGGATAAGAGTCCCCACCTCAAATGTGTGGTGTTATGAGGACTAAATGATTTAATATATGTAAAGCATTTAGAGCAAAACCTGACACCATAGACTCTCAGGAAATGTTATCTGTAATGAGGAGGAAGAAGAACTGCAGCAACAGAGAAGAAAGGTGAGTAGATCAACCTAGGTAAACCTAGATAGGATCACAAACATAGGAGCAATGAAAGGTTATCATCAGGTAAGTGACATGATAAATGTGGCCCTTTAGGCAATTTTGCAATATCTGCAGCCTAAGTGGGTTGAAGAAAGACCAATTAAGGGAAGTGATCCAGGCAAGACAGAATGTGGCCCTGGATTGGGTAGGTAGAGGTGCAATAGAAATGGAGCAGAAGGAATAAATAAATAATGTGTGATATTTGGGTGAGGGGAGTTTGTTTATTGTGAAAACAATGTTACAAGAAATTTAAAATAGAAAAAAAAATAACCTTATTGTTATCACCTTCACACCCTGGTTGTTTTCATTTCCCTGTCAGCTTTATAGGTATAGAGATTTTTTAAAGCATGATGATAATAACCATGTAGATGTAATTTTGTGTGCCCTGCTTCTTTTTCCTCTCTACGCATTACTTGGTAAACAATTTTTCATGTCGCTATGCAGGTTTCCTCAAGTCATAATTTTTAGTGGCTATATAATATTTCACCAGCTTAATGTGCTCTAATTTGCTTAATCATTCCCAAAATATTAGATAATTAGGTAGTTTCCAATTTCTTGCTATTATAAAGTAATGCAGCAGAAATATTTTGATTTGCTATGGCTTTTTTTCTCATTTTGAATTATCTAATTAAAAACAATTATGTGGATTTGTGATTACTAGTGCAAAGAATATGAACATTCTTATGGTTCTGCATAGATTTTGCCAAACTGCTTTCCCCGCAAGATGTTTTACGTGCCATTAGCAAGATTTTGTTACCATTGGAAATTTTCTTTTTCTAATGCCATACAGTTTAATGGGACCTATTATAGTTTAAATTTGCTTACTTTGATCATTCTAGTTTGAACATTTTGTGTGTCTAATTAAATATTAATATCTGTATTGCTTCTCATGTGAATTATCTGTTCAAATTATTTGCTCACAAATATGTGACACCTTTTGAGGGCAAAGTAGAGAAAACTTGGTGACTAGAACTTGAGGAGAAAAAAGGAAATATATCTTAGCCAAGCATGATAGTGCACGCCTGTAGTCCTAACTGCCCAGGAGGCTGAGGCGGGAAGATCACATGAGCCCCGGAGTTCGAGGTGGCAGTGAGCTGTGATCATGTGACTGCACTCCAGCCTGAGTGACAGAGCAGGACCCTGCCTCAAAAAGGAGACAAAAATTAACTCTGAGCCCCAGTGACTTGGAAAATGTTATGGACATAGATGGGGCAGTTGAGAAGGGGAGCTGGTTTGGTGAAGATGCTGTCAAGTTTGAATTGGGATATGTTGTATCTGAAATTAGTGGAAGATACAAGGTGATTCTTTCAAGGCTTGTCAAACACCCAGCCAGGGGATAGGTTAAGGAAGAAGAACCAACAAAGGAAGCTGAAGGGTCAAGCAGCTGAAGTAGTAAAAGAAGAAATCTGCTAGTGTAGAAGATAAGCAGATAAAAGCAGTAGACATAGAAAATAAACGGCATGGTAGTCTGTAAGGGGGAAGCATAGAGAAGAAATGTAAGCAGCTTTACACATCCCAAATTGACCTGTTTTAAGTGTACAATTCAATGATTTTTAGTAAGTTTACAGTGATTTATTATCACCACATTCCAGTTTTAGAACATTTCTATCACCCTAAAAAGATCCCTCATGCCCATTTGCCGTTGCTCTCCATTCCCACCCTTGACCTCAAGCAACCACTAATCTACTTTCTGTCTTTGTAGATCTTCCTTTTCTGTGCTCTCCATATGACTCAAATCTCACAATATGTGGTCTTTTGTGCCTGACTTCTTTCACTTAGCTTAAGTTTAGCAGTTCATCCATGTATCAGTACTTCATTCCTTTTTATTTCCAAATAGTAGTCCATTGTATGAATGCATCGTATTTTGTTTACTAGTCCTTCCACTAATGGATTGTTGGGTTGTTTTCACTTTTTGGCTATTGTGAATATTACTGCCATGAACATTCATGTACAAGTTTCTGTGTAGATTTATGTTTTTAATTCTCTTTAGTACATATTTAAGAGTGGAATTGCTGAACCAAATGATAACTATATTGTTTAACTTTTTTAAGGAACTGCCTGTTTTCTAAGGCAAATCCACCAGTTTACATTCCCACCAGCAAAAGAGAGTTCCAATTTCTTTTGGCTAATTTTAATACAATGATTAATTGCTGCTGTGTGGTTTTTTAAATGTTTAAAAAGGGACCAGGTGCAGTGGCTCACACTTGCAATCTCAGCACTTTGGGAGGCCAAGGCGGGAAGATCCCTTGAGGTTAGGAGTTCAAGACCAGCTTGGCCAACATGGTAAAACTTCATCTCTACTAAAAATATAAAAATTAACCAGGCAAGGTGGCAGGTGCCTGCTTTCACAGCTACTTAGGAGGCTAAGGCAGGAGAACTGCTTGAATCCAGGAGATGGACATTGCAGTGAGCCAACATTGTGATACTGCACTCCAGCCTGAGCAACAGAGTGAGACTCTGTCTCAGAAGAAAAAAAGTTTAAAAAAGAAGATGTTTAGAAAGAATAAATTAGCTAGGGAAAGGAGAAAGAGAGAAATAGGATGATAGAAGGAGTAATTGGGTTTAATTTAGTGGTTCTCAAAATGTGGCACCAGGCCCAGCAACCTCAGTATCACCTGAGAACTTATTAGAAATGCACATTCTCAGGCCATACTCAGACCTACTGATTCAGAAAGTGGGGGTGTGGCCCAGCAATCTCTGTTTTAGCAAGCCCTCCAGGCAATTCTGATGCAAGCTAAGTTCCAGAACCACCAGTTTGAATGAAGCTTCAATCAGGATCCAGAAAACTGAATTAAGTTTAAAACTGAAAGGAAAGCTCAATAGAAAAGGAAGTAGTATTGACACTGAAGATGGAAGAGGCGGGTTCCAATTGAAGGTCTCAGGAAACATGAGAAGGACTAGGAAATGTCCAGGGCATAGATGACATTTGTGAGGAGAAATCCTGATAGTTTCCCCTCACACCTTCCCCCACCACCACCCACAAATTTTAACATTTACTATGTTATTTGTGTCACAACTGGAATGATGGGTGTGGGTGGAAAAATCAAATGTATATTCTTAAGCCACTCTCTTTGCCTGGAAGCCTGCAATGAACTGATAATTTCAGGTAGTTATACTCTTAGTTGTCTCCCTCCACTGTTATTTGGTTTTCCGTGAAGAGAATGTAAAAATTTTAATATTAGCAGGAGGGGGGAAAATCATAAATAGATCAACTGGGAGAAAAAGCTACATTACTGTGATGT